ATATAAAGATATATGTTTATATATATATATATATACAAATAAATTATTATTATTATATTTTAGAGAATATTGAATCTTAAATAAATACTTACTGTCGTATTATCGTGAAACAGTTAATGTCGTGTATATACCAATAAAAGACACCCATAATTATATGCGTGTAATGCTCGCAGTTAAATGAAAAAGCCTGTGCTCGTAAAAGTGTTTAATGGTTGAAATGTTTCTATCTTGGTGATTCTTGGCATTAACCGGTGGTGATTGGAAAGTCGAGCGCGTGACGAAAGTTAATAACAGCTCATCTACCTATCATGCGAATTTCGATTTTTTTAAAAACGCACAGATCTTTTGAAAGCAAAGCCGCTTCTTCAAACGTTCGAAATTCCTGTTTTTCCGACAGCTTAAAAATTAAAATACAAAAATTGTCAATCGTTAAAAAACGAACAATTAAAAGTTGTCAAGTCAATTTTCATTAACGAAAAGACAATTGTTTATGTAAATGTAAACAATACGCGTCTTATCAGAATAATATAACGATACGATGGAGATTTTTTTCGGTTTCTGCGCAAATACTGCCAGAGTCCTTTAATTTTATATTCCTCACGAATAAAGTAGGTGTCAGCTTTCATTTGTCATCGCCCTTTCGTCGTCTCGCCATTACCGGGTATTTTTGCCGCTTATTCGTTTGCGACTGTGCTACGTGGATTTTTTTTCCATCCCCGGTAATTGATTCGCCTTATTTCAAACGATGCTCTTCGCAGCTACCGTGCAATATAACCGACCCCTTAAACCTGTGAAAAAGGAACCTAGGCTGTTTTTCTCCTTCCCGGCTACCTCGAAGCTGTTTTCTCATGAGTGTCAGTCTCGTGAAATATTCTCCCTTCCATGAAATAATCTACCTACCTGTCTTGATAGTATTTTCTTATTTTATGAAATAATGCTGAAACTCAAAAGCACACGAGAATCTTTTGAAAAATTGTACTGCGCGAAGAACTTATTCGTTTTTAATAAAAATTTGTTGCGTGTGTGATAAAATAAATTTTATGTATCGTGATATATTTAGGATGAATTCCTTCGAGCACAGGTGAGTACGTTTACGCAAGGTAAATTTCACCGCGCGATACCGCGTTACGTCTGTGAATGTGTTTACTTTGATTTCTAGTAAAAGCTCTCTTTCTACATGATAATCTTTATATAACGAACTGGTGCAAAATGTTTTCATTAATTTGTGCTCGACACGCGTACACAAGGCGATTCCACAATATTTTCAAGCGCTTTCTGGTCTCGCAATCGTGTCTACAGTTCATCACTTTCAATTACATAATGTTTTTATTATATCCCGTGTTTCGCTAATGTAATACGAGCTTCAGTTGGAAAATGTGTTAAATTTAACATATTTCACGTATCGCAAAACAGTCCACTCAGATTTTTGTGTTAATTTAATACACGATGAATTTGTTAAAAATATTATGTAAAAAAATTAATATAAAAGTGTAACACTGACATAATTTGTAAGCAAATTGTGGAAGCATATTTTTTTTAATTACATTAACATTTATATGTTGAATTAACACACATACGCACACGCACACGCACACGCGCGCGCGCGTATTTTATTCACTTATTTTATTTAGAGTTTACGTTTTAAAATGCATTATTTTTATGTTATTTGTTCATAAATTGTGTTATTTTGGCAGTAAAAAATGTTGAATATCAATTTAATATTTAAACAACATAATTACATTATGTTAAATTAACACTCGGATATGTTAAAAATTCAACGAGGACTTAAGTGGACTGATTTAAACACAGGTATAAAACGTGTTTTTACTGTGCACGATAATTTTATACGATTAACAAATGATACGTAGAGAATGTAAATTCGAGTTACACATTATGGTTGAATTACGACGCAGTATATGGGCATATAGAATAAGAGAGCACACAAACGTTATATGAACGCCCAATGAAAGAAAAGCAAAACCGCGATCTCCACACAAATGGGAAAACCACTGCGTGTAGGAAATTTTCTCACGGATGTAAAACGTTCTCTCCCTCGCAACGACCGGCATACTTTTCCTCATTATCTCTTATATCCTCACCTGGCGTCCACATCCCCGAGGTTTTCATGCTTATTATTTCTTTTTTCAACATGCACACACGTGCTATAGATAAATGATTCACATTTCTAATTACTCATATTGTACATTTTTTTAATACCGTTAATTTTCTCTAATACATTATTTAAGCTTTTCTTGATATGAACTTAACGAAAGAGAGAATGAATAATACTATTTAGAATAATTGAATAAAGTTTTTCTACTTCGTGCGTGTCAAGCTAAGAAAATTGAAATGCCATGAGAAATATTACTCGTGCAAAAGTCATTTAATTTGATTTCCGAATAATTAACAAGATAAATAATACTTTGCAATAAAGTATATTTTTGCACAATATTATATTCTATATTAATTTAAGAAAATATTAACTTATTAATATTTAAATATTAATTTTAAAATTAAAAATTAATTTTTAAATTTATCTACCAGAGTTCACAATAAAAAAATCAACTGATTGATCGAACATATCTGAAACTGGAAATAATCAACAATTGTAGGAGCAATTGACACGGAGTATATTGCCACAACACATAGTGGCGAAAATCAAAAAGGACTTTCGGGATATTTTCAAATTCATAGAAGAGCACAAAAAGAGTCCTCCGCCAAAAGGCAGACCATACTGGTACGAGCAGTCCAGAACAATATAACAATCTGCATTAAAATTCGAAGATCCAGGTTACAGTTGCTGGGATAAAAATGTTCATAAAGGCGAAACGTACAGAGCAAGTGAGAGTCAAGCGAAGTTAGTAGGGTGCAAAATGAGTTTATTCTTATTTAGGAAATATAATAAATTCAATTTTAAATGAATTTATTTAGTATATGAATTTATTTTATGAATACATTATTTTATTTTATGAATATATTATTTTATCTTATGAATTTATGTATATTTTATAAATAAGAATAGATTCATTTTGCATTCTACTAAATACGTCTCATTTACTACACTTTACGTTTAATTTCTATATTCTTGCATTTTCCTTTGAACAATTGCAACTTTTGAAGTACACTTCATACATTTTGTGAAAGAGAACAATAATAATATTTAGGAACGTTCTATTTCGGAAAATAATACATCGTGCGAATTTGATTGCATCAAATGCGCCGACCAAACTAAAATAGCTTCTAGGAAACAATATAATAAGAGGCGTCACGTTTTACCGTTATAATAGATGGATGTTTTATTGATTCGTCGCAAACTACAGTGTATCATAGGTTATGGTATGAAACCTGTGTTCGTCTGTAATTGGTTACGGTTTTACGTCCGATTGTCCCACAGCTGCCGCTTTCGGCTTTGCATTATTTATCGCGAGGCGTCGCGCAAAATGTGCTTGCAGCATATATTCATCGATAAAGAGCAATAATGTCGACTCTATCAGTTTATCGCAACGCAATATCGAAAATCGTTTTTTTTTTACTCAAAAAAATATTTTACTCCTTGATATATGGTATTACTACAGTAGCCATACATTTTTTATTGTAAAAAAAAAGAATAGTCTTTTATTTCAGGCAGTTCTTTAGATTTAGATATTTTTTTCTCAAAACTCAATTTTGTCTTATTTTAATAATATTGCGGGAAATTCTTTTCTAATTAATATTCTAATGTATTAATGAGCAAATTTTTACGGAAATCAACAAATTTAGTTTTATGCAAAGGCAATATTAGCTCAAACAGAACAACAAAGACACAATAATATTAGGATATCATCCAAATGAATCGTGATTGATTAATAACTTTTAATAATCAAATTTGTAATTATTTTGACATAATTTTGATGTTACTTGGGAATTATCTCATTGTCAGATATACTGTGCAAAAAAATTTCAGAAATTAATGCACAGACTTTTGACAGTCAAACTAATTTGGAAATATTTAGGAATAAAGTTCTAAAATTCCAGATTTATTATTTATTTTCTCTAAGACTCAGTTTTTCATTTTTTAACTTATGGTTAGGTTAGGTTAATCTGATGTTTTATCCAATGGGCTTTATCTATAATGATGTCATAGATGAAACTCATTGGATGAAATATCAGGTTAAATTTAACCACAAGTTAACTAAATAAAGAAAAACCGGAAAAACTTGAAATTATTAATAACAATGCTTTCTATTTGATGACACAAATCGACACAAGCGTCGTTCTATCCTTCTTGACAGTCAGAGAGTGACAAAGATAGAACGACACTTGTGTCGACTGTGCCTCCTAAAAGGAAAGCAGCCATAATCATGAGTTTAGTGATTGGTTATAACTAGAAAAACGTGATTTTCATATGTAAGATTAAGTCTAAACCGGATGATGAAAAACCGGGCCTAAGAAAATATGGTCACTGTATGCGTACACCTAAGAAAGAGCCCTGTTCTCTCACGTATAAAAGAAAGAGACGTGTTTTCTAATTTTGTTGCAAATCTTCCAACTTATCTAACGCACGTCTCTCTCTCTCCCTCTCTCTCTCTCTCTCTCTCTCTCTCACGTTAATCCGATGACGTGCGGTACGGCGATAGCACCGAAAATTACGGATCAAGATCAAGGTTATCGTCCCGAAAGCGTCGGGAGTCCGCCGTTCGTGCGACGATCGATCGGTGCGGAGCATCAGCGACTTCTTTCTATCTGGCCACCCGTTATGACGCCAACGGGCGCCGCGTCGCGCCGGGTTGATGCCGCGAGGGTGTTGCGCGCCAGCCGGGAGGGCAAGCCGGAACGGCGGAAGGGAAAGGGGAGGTACACCACCGGCGATGGCGGTGGCGGCGTCGGCGTCGGCGAACAACGATGGTGGTGCGATGGTAGTGGTGGTGGTGGCGGTGGTGGTGGTTGTTCCAAAGCCTCCCCTCTCCACCATTCACCACAGCGTCTCGACGCCGTCGTTCAACTCGGACTCCACCGTTAGAGCGTCGTTTCAGTTACCCAATCGCATCGCCGATGTGAAGTAAGAGGGGGAGCGCGAGAGAGAACGAGTGAAAGAAAGAGTGAGAAAAAGAGAGAGAGAGAAAGGAGTGCGCGAGTGTGGCGTGTTCATACGCGCAAAAGGGAGCGAAAGAGAAGGATCAAAATAATACGAGAGAAAAGCGCATCGGGGGAGGAGAAGAGAGGGAGAGGAAGAGAGAGAGAGAGAGAGAGAGAGAGAAAGAGGACGAGAAGAAGAGAGCGGAGACTATGTTACGAGTCGTCTTCGTCGTCGCAGTCATCGTCGTCATGCCGCTCGGTCTTGCCTGAACAAAGGAAGGTTCTTCTCCCTCGGCTCTCCGCGTCGAGGGTCGTTTCCGATCGACGAACCGTCGGGATCCTTCCTCGGGTGTCTTCGGCGTGGCTCGTACGCGTCGGGCGCGCACGAAGCGGTCAGTCACGTAGCAGCGGCCGAGACGTGAGGAACAAAGGACGGCGGCAGGATCTGCGCGCGCGTGAAAGAGGGAGAACGGTGCGGAGTAACAAAACCGAGCGTTGTATTGTACATATACGGCGGTCGTGCGCGTTATTTCCGGCGACATTGTTGACACTTAGCGGTCGGTGTAAACTCCCTCGATCGAAATCTTCTCGAAATCGAGAAAGAGTGGTAGAGAGAGGAGAAATAACTCCGCCGAGAGCAGCCGCGAGCCGAATAACACCGGTGCTCCGAAAGACAGGCGCGTCGTCGCGAACTCGACTTGTGCATTGTGCGTTGTTTTTTTGCCTTTTTTTTTATACTTTTCTATCCCGACGATATCGCAGTGCGACGATCCTGGAGTAAGGAGGAGGAGGAGGAGAGAGAGAGAGAGAGAGAGAGAGAGAGAGAGAGAGGGGGGAGAAGAAAGAAAGAAAGGAAGGAGCGGTAGCGTACCTGCCTATCGGACATCCTTCGAAAAGGGACACGATTTGTGAGTGAAAGGGAGAGGGACCGATTCGATCGAGAGTGCAGAAGAGTAAGAGTGGAAGAAGGAGAGAAGCGAGACCCTCTCGGATTTTTTGGCCTGCCTGCCTGTCTGCCTGCCTGCCTGCGCGACGAACCGGCGACCTAACCTAACGACAACGACGGTTGAGAAGTGCGCGCGAGAATCGGAGAGAAAGAGAGAATCTCGTCAGTGCGAGGGTCAAGGAAGAAAGAGAGAGAGAAAGAGAGAGCGGGAGGCGAAAGGACGAAAGTGAAAAGGTAAAATCGGAGCGTCCTCCGTTCTTCGCTCCGGCGTAGGTTTAAACGACGTCGCGCGCGTCGTGGGGTTTTTTTTTCTTGTGACATGTGCCGCGGAGTGTACCGCGATTGAAGGGAGACACAAACGGGAAGCTCAAACATTTATTCGGCAGCGCACGGATTATCCTCGTGTTTACGGTGAGTTTTCACAGTCTGGTTAAAAAAAAGGCGGTATACGTCGTTGTTTTTTCGAGAACTTTCGGCTACCAAACGACTTTCCGCATCTCGGAATCTTACTCTTTGTTATTGTTCTATATGAAAGGTATAATATTCTTTTATTTTTAAAGACGGTTTATTTTACGGTTTTCAATCAGTCTTCCTTTCGGTCTTCCTTTCTTGGAAGAAAGGACCAGCGTTTCTTTATGAGTGACTAATGGAATAACTGTGGTGAGGTAGAATAAATGGGAAACGAATACAATGAACACATTGAAACACGAACATATGGAAAGAAAATTTAAGGAAGATCTTTAGTGACGCCCAAGACGAATCGCAAATACTTTGGGAAATTTTTCAGCTTCAAGACCGTGGCATATAAAAAAACTTTAGGTAGCAAAACGTAAGCAGTAAGGAAATTAATAGTTTAGATTTGTTACTGCTTACGTTTATTCACCGTTAAAATCGATAATATATCAAATATACTCAATTTGAATTATTTTTAACCATTTCTATAAGTCTGCTCCTACTCGATATATGGTTAATTTAACTAAAACAACTGAGTTATACAATTTAATTCAAGAAAATTGTTATTAAATTTGACTATTATTTATTAAATGCATACGTTAATATGAACGTTTATTTTGAAAATAATCATAGAAGTGGATTGATTTACATTTTGACACACACACACTGAGGAAAATTTCTGATTGAAAATGAACGAACCAAAAGATTCTGATCAATTAGAATTCTGTTATTTTAACTAGAATCCTAATAAATTCAACCAGAACATTTTGATTTTTTTATTTTTAACCAAAATTACAATTAATACAACGAGATTCTTTCTTCAGTGCATGGAAGTTAAAAATAACCAAATGTTATTTAACTCAAGAGATTGGATTACTATTGCTTCTTTGATACCTAATAGTGTTGCCTTACGTTTTCTATTGTGATTGGCCGATTCGCTTACTGCCTTACGTTCTTTTGTGTGCCGTAGCCTTTACTCCGCACGAACTTGAACGAAAATTTTCCATCATTAAAGTAGATGAGATGCATTAAAACGTCGTGAAACGTGAACGGCGAGTACGGTTTGTGTGATTTGCGATTCCGAATCGCGTCCGCGTTAAGTAGAATTATAGTCGTGCGTCACTACTCTCGTCAGCACTCGGCATCAATCGAGATACCGTGTCGAGTTGTATTTTCTCCCACGCGTTAACATCTCGAGGGGCCCCATTTCGTCGAATCTCATCGAATCTCTCGCTTTCCCATTCGCTTCACGGTAACTTCTCAGTGATGAAAATTCCACGACTCGGCGCGTCGCTTTTGATCGTTGAAGAATTCCCGGGAACAATGACACGGTCGGAGCCTTCCTTTCTCCCATCTCCGTCCCTGCCGTTGTATGGTTACGACTATAATCACGTTTTCCATGCGGCATGGATGGTCTCCGGCCCTGAAAGAGAATTCCACGAAGCTTCCAGAACGTTGTCGCGCCTTGAGGAAGGGCGCAAACACAAGTCCTCGGTGATGTTTGCATACTCCTGTTTATTGTCTTCTCGGTGGTAAACAGGAGCATTTACGCGATCAGTACCATTGGTTCCTGCGGGAACATCGTGGTATATGCGATCGTAAACGAGCCATTCGGAGGGAAATTATTCATCTCTCGAATATATGACCTCGTACCAATCGCTCCAAAACTGTCTCGTCGAATGATTCTTGCTCCGGGTGGTGATCATGTAATTTTTCTTGGAATAATATTAAACTAAGAACCTCTAAAAATTTTTCTGGAATATACATGGAGAAGTAATATACATGGAGTTGATTAATTTTTATAAAACTAGTAAAAATATTCTGGCTATTTTTGCCGAACTTATGACAAACTCTCTAAAATCTTTGTAAAATGGAATCTAATTCTAAAGAGTGACAAAGAAGTGATAGTTTAGTCATTGAAAAAGAGTGGCTCACAAATGTCAATTTTTAAATGTGAGATTTCATTCTTTAGAATTTTTAGATTTCACTCCAAAAATTTTAGAGAGAACTTTAGATACTTGCCTGAAAGTGTAAAAATATACTGAAAGTGTAAGCTAAGAAGTACATTACATTATAAATCCATTCGAATGACTTTATTATCTCGCAGTAAAGTAAATCATACTATATTCAAGACTGTAAGGGCTAATATATAATTCTCAAAATTTACTTTACGAAATGTAAAAAGTATCTTTCATTTATCAGAGATAATCGTTCATTTGTCAGAAAGGTAAAGTAAATTTTATACAAGTGAGCGCCTGTTTTTATATGGATCTGCCAATTTCATAAAATTTACTAGAATTCTAGCGTTTATTACTTTACATATTTCTTTGTGTAGAGTTGCCATCCGTCCTCTTTTCCTTGAATATCATCCTTTTTTAGGGCGTCCGGGGAGATTTTTCAAAGGTGTCCGAATTATAAATCGTCCGGGTTTCAGGCTTGTAAGTTCTAGTTTTGAAAATTTTGATATGACAACCCTCCAGTGCGACAGAAACGTGAAAAGTGGAAATTTTTTCCATTATCATCAATGAGAAAAATGTTAGCTTTTTATACGTTTTTGCTCTAGGAAAAGTTATACGATTACTATCTTGGATCGCATGTTCTGATAAAAAGAATATTTACGATCAATGATAGTATCGCCGTGTTACAAATCACCCTTTATTGTAATGCACGGAAAAAATTATGTATTAACAGTATTAACCAACAGCAGTTTAATTTAAAGTAATCTTGTTGATTTTATGACAGTATTAATAAAACAAATTATATTTTATTAAAATAACAGCGTGACTTATTTGTTTTATTAAAGCCACACAATGCATTTTTTTTAACTAGATTTCTTGCGTTTTAATAAATTATTAAAATTGTACCATACAGAGAAAACACAGAATTTTTAATAATTTTTACAACGGAAGTTTCAGCGGGAAAAAATGCATTGTAGGTTTAATATTATACTATTATTGAATTAATAAGATTATTTTCGATTACATGTTATTAACGCTATTAGTGTATCATTTTTTCCGTGTATAAAATTACGTATAATATTATACAATTCTTTTGTTATTAATGACAGCTAGTTTTATTGGAGATATTATGACGGAGATGGATAGGAGTCGCAAAGAAATTGAATTTATTTCTCTCTTTAAGGTTTATGCATGCGTCTGTCAGACGCTGTCGGTTTTCGACGCGTTTCTCCATGCATTTATGGCAACATGACTCGGACGGCCACATTTAGCCCTAAATGCGCGTCGAGAGCCAGCGGGCCTTTGAAAATCACCGCGCCGCGTCATGACAAAGTTAACCGCGTTTGTCGCCGGAGTACCGAGGAGAGCTTAATTAGACACTCGTTCGAGAGCGACGTTCCCCGCGATCTTGTCGTTGACAGTGGTTAATTATTCTAAAGCATACGTGTCGATGCGATACATCGAGATTGCCACTTCCGGCAGCTTGCAACTTCGTCGATGACAGAGGGGAACAACGTATTGCGCAAGACGTGAGCGAAGAAAGTGACATGCAGTGTCTACTTTGTGTAATCTGTCAAGCGCGGAATGGAAACAAGAGAAATTTTTTTTTCTTGAGGTCTGACTGTTAAACCTTCAGAACCTGACGTCAAACTCTGTTGTAACACATTTATTGATGTTGGATCTCTGTATAAAAATAATTTATATTAATTTATGTTAATTGAAAACTTTGACACTAATTAATTTCAAGAAACCAAAATGACATAACTTGTATAAAAAGGAATGAATATTAAGTATATATTTTAATAAGAATAATCCGAGGGGTTGGTCACTAGTGGTTATAATGTACAAAAATTTTGATACGGATTATCTTTTAATTGCCTCGGATTACTTAAGATTACCTACTACTACCTCAAATTATTCAGATTATCAAATATTACTTTATATTATCTTTGAGTATTTAAAATTACTTCATATTTTTTTCTGAGATTATCCGAGATTTTTCCAAATTTACTTGGCTCATCTAAGATTATCTTATACAAGTACATAAAGTATTATTTCTTCAGATCACTCTAGCATATCTTTATAGACCACTATGATAAATATCTTCGAGAACATCGATTTTATATTTTCACTGCTTAAGAAAAAAAAAACAATTTTACAATTTAAACAAATATTTATTGCATACAGGAACACAAAAATATAAAAATTTTGCAAGCAGAATATGTATTATATGTATAGATAGTAACAAGTTCGATTACTCGTTTGAGATTTTTTTATACTAACAAAACAATATCCAATTGAATATAAATATTAATAGGTATTTTATAAAATAAACAATATTTTTAAAAACACCAATAGTAACACACTCTTTGTTAAACGATATCACAATTTAGTGTTAAATTAAAAATTTTGCGACTAATCAAGTTAAGTATAAATAAAAAGGTATCTCAGAACACTGAAGATTACTTAGATTAGCAAAAATTACCTTGGATTACCCAAAATTTCGTATGAATTATTTCAGTGATCAACCCCTCGGAATAATTCAAAATTTTTTTTACAGATGTAACACAAAGAAAATTAAATTGTTTGACATTTTTTACAGCTAGTGAATTTAAATAATTGAGTAGGTCCAATAAATTCACCGTTAGCTCCAGAGGGTTAGAATATCTAACATTGATAATTGATGAGGTAGAATAAATTCTCCAACAATTATTCGCGATCCCTATAAAAAATATAATAAAATTGTAAAAATAAATCTCTATTATAATAAATGTATAATGAGACGCTGTATAAATATACATCTACACACACAACACACACACGTGCGCGTGCGCGTTCTTATGAAACATTCTGCAAAATTTTCTCATGCTTCGGCTGTCGGCAAAATGAAACGCGCGTCGCATACGGACGGACCATTGATTTCACGTAACGCAGCGTTTCTATCGATGGATGCTGGTGGAAAAGGAGAGGACAATGCGCGGATCGTGCTAGAAAGAAAGG